AGAATCTTCATTCAGCTGCCTTGTGCATATGCATTATGACAGTCTCTAGTTATGCAATTACATGCTATTTTTTCCATGGGACACATCTGTCAGTGCACAGGATGTACAATGCTCATGGAATTAATCCAGGTTGTCTATAGGACCCCTACCTCATTTGCTGCAGAAGATGGAAGGGGTATAGGAAGAGAAAGGATGATTTTGAAGTTTAGGCAGCTGAATGTCACATTGGGAGATTGGATTCTATCCCTGGCTTTGCCACCTTGAAGAAGAGCTCTGTGTAGCTCGAAAACTTGACTCTTTCACCAACAGAAGTTGGTCCAATAAAAGATATTACCTCACCCACCTTGTCTCTCTAATATCCTAGGACCAAAATGGCTGCAACAACACTGCAAACAAAGTTCCTTTGTGATTATGGACAAGTCACATGAACTAAACTTTTCACAGGCAGCCATATTCCTCATGTTTCCTCATTTTCTGGGTACCCAACTTCTGGGTCTGGTAAGTGTTGAGACCTTGGACCTGCGACTCAGGAAGAGCTGAGCTGTGAACATATGAAGTACTATATAATACTGTATTGTCTAAAAAATCACGCCATAAGCATATCCAAATGGACCTCAAAATTAGTCTACACTTTTGAGTCTCACTGTGCCTCAGTTCCCCACCTGTAAAATGGGGATACTATTACTCTACCTCACAAGGGTGCTGTCAAGATACATTAATGGTTGTGAAGCACAAAGATGCTACAGTGATGAACACCACAGAAAAGCCCGCAATGAAATTAAGAACTCCGTATTCAGAGCAGGATTTGAATGGTGTGCAATAAATAAGGCATGAGACCACAAACTGAACAATGAGGATAAAACAAAATAATGACTAGTTGCTCATTCAGCACTATCTATTCTGTGCACTGAAAGACAGGGACCCTGGTAGAACAAAAAAAAAAAGTATGTGATCATGTAATTAAATATATCATAATGCATCTGCACAAATGGATCAAATTAAGGTTGCAGAGGCAACCTTAATACTGTCACTTCCTAACTTTAAAGTACGACTTTACATACAAAACCAACTATATTAGCAATGTTAAAGGTGCAATGTTCTTGTTTATATAAAAGCAAACTGAAAAACACAAATTCCATCACATCATACCATGCTGACTATCCCATGATTCTTCAGCAGGACTAGAACCTTTAGATCAACAGCACAGACTTCTGCCACCTGAGCTAAGAAGAACTGATAGCAATAGTAGGTTACTATGTGCTATGCGGGCGAGCCATTAGAGGAAGATGAAGCATACACATTGCCAGAGGGTTTCACAGCTTATTTCCTGACAGCTGAAGAACGTTGAGACTCAGGAATGCTGGGTTCTATTCCAGCTTCTGAGGAGAACATACTCTAGTGGATACAGACTTCTCCTTCTGCCCCTGGACCTCCAGCCTCTCCTTGTCCCAGACTGCCTGCAGTTGACTCTTCAGCCCAGCCTCCAGTCCAGACCTCAAGGCCCAGCTCCCCATTCCTCTGCATTTCAGTCAGGCTGCCTCCTCCTCACTGCCTGTGTTAGCAGCAGGAACACCGATTAGAGGAGAACAAGTCTCCCTGCTCTCACAGTTCTTGTGATGTGTGACAGCATCTCCTTGCAGCCAAAGAACAAATTGCAGTGGAAAGTCCTGTTCAGCCCCTGCAGTCTCATGCTAGATCACATCCAGCACAGCTGGAATCATCTTGAGAGTTTAGCTGCCAAACTCCCAAGTCTCTACTGAGCATGTGCAAACAGATTTCAAAGGCTCATAACTAGGCCAAATTCAGGCAGATTTTACAAGGATGACAACAGGAACATCCCTGACATCAGAGCAATCCCCCTAATAAATGTAGAGCCCCAGCTATAAAGCATGGAAGTACTACAATTTTTCAATGAAATGGTTGTAAGATTTTTTTTTTTTAAATGTGGGTAAAGAAACCATTTTCCCCTATTTTTTGGTCTAGGAAATAGTCAAACTGTTTTTGCTTAAATTTTCCAGAAAAATTCAGCCCGAGTCAGGCACCCAGCAGAAAAATTTCAGCCCAAATGGTTAAAGTTTGGTGAATTTATAAGAAATTGAAAAGAGTGTCTTATAATGAAAAGTATCTGGCTAACTGCATGCCTATAATAAAAAGTAAAGTAGAGAATGCAGGAAGTAAAGGCTGCAATACCTTTTACACTATTAAAAGCATGCCCTCTATTCACAACACAGATTTCCACAATCATCAACTGTAACATTACAATTAGAAGACTCATTTCTAGTGGGAAGGATATTAAAAGCAGAGTGCAACCAAACAAAAATTGTTTTCATGCAAATGTTGTTAGTAACAAAAAGAGAGATAAGACTAAAGAAAATATGACAAGCTGAATTGTTTCAAAATCTTCTCAAGGTTTTCATGAGGCATCATCAGTTTTTTATCATCTCATGGGAGCAAAAGCTAATTGGTGAGTTGCCATATTTCCCTTTTACAAAACCAAGGGATAGTCTATAACAAAAATAAAGACTTTTTGACATACCAGAGTGCCCCATTATAGCATTATCACACAGATTTTTTAAAAACCAAGGCATTATTACAAAAGTAAATATGAAAAAATTTACTAAGTTGATCAAGCAGTAACTGAATTTCTATTTTACATTATCAAATATCCTGAGACTAGAATTATTATAAGGGAACCCTCCCTCCAGCCTGATTAAGAGGTACTATGTTTGTAGCAGGGGTTCTCTGTTTAAGTGCCAGAAAAGACAAAATCCTCAAGGTAGCACAAAATTGTGCCTTTTGTGCCAACTTGTCTGCTCTTGATTTAAATATGTGTGATGGGATACTTAACATTGAGCACTTCATTACTTCACCTAGAATTAGATGACGATTCCACTTACCAGGGGCTGAGAACTATAGTCAGCTAATACAATAAATTTGCTCTTGCACAGTGGGGAAAATCTTTTGGAAAGTACAAGCTTTCTTCAGGATTCCATAAAAGCCTGAAACGATTATATTTTCATTTTCTTAAGTCTCCCCCTCAATTTGCTGCTCCAAAAGTGCCTCCTGCTTTAATTTACATTCAAATATCATTTCCACCTGTGTTAATTTCCAGTTTTCAAACAGCTCTGGAGTACACACAGAGTTTTTGCTGGTTTACAGTCACCCACCCATAATCTGGAGGAAGGAGAAGAGAACCACATTGTTTTGTCTGATTCAACATCAGTTCTGAGATGGGAGCTACATATCATGGTAATATAAATGCTTCAATTTACGTATGTCCAACTTCTTATCATGTGTATTACTTCTTAATGGCCACTTCCTTGTAAATAATTCCCCTTCAGTACCTTCAATCTAGACTCTACATTTTGGGTTCGGAAACAGAATTTAATTCCCTTCCATTCCCCTTTTTAAAATATACTTCCAGACACTAAAAGTTATGACACATGAGAAAGTTAATTTAACCTTGAGAACTATGTTCCTTCCCCTCCCTATACTCCCAAATTACCCATAGGATTGTTTGTTTGCTATATTTATACTACTACTTCATACACATTAAGGAAAATCTATATTTGCAGTATGTAGTTCTTTCCAGCACATAGCAGAAAGACCAGCTTCCTATATTTACCAGGTGCTCAACATTAAGCACCCAAAACAAATAGATGTGGCACACTGAGTACTGTCCTGGATACAAATAATTTGAACTCAGTGGTTAGCTGGGAAAAATATCTGTTTGTGTTCTACTTAGAAACACATTTTCAAGTGATTGCACAATTACCAGAGTGTGAAGTGTAACAGTCTGCATCTCCCAATCTTCCACAAGGGCTCCTGTCAATCCCCTGGATACTATCTACATTAATTCCTTAAGTACTTTGTGTTTATGTAACTGTTTGTTTTTTGCCAGTTACCATTCTGTTTCTTTTTGGCATACAGGTATCTTCTTCTTTGACTTTCAGATAACTTCATGTGGGCAAATAGAACTATAGTCTGTACCTAAAAACTACTCAACTTCCCTACTTCCCTTTTCAAACTGTTTTGGGGACTTTTAGCACAACTGCACTTATTTTCTACAAGTTTACGAAACACTAGATAAACCTACTAAGGAAGCACAGAACATATACTTAGGGCTGGTCCACACTAGGAACTTACATCAGCATAGCTATGTCTCTACAGAGTGTGAAAAATCCACACCCCCGAGAGAGGTGGCTATGTCAACCTAACTCCGAGTGTAGACAGCCTTAGGTCAATGGAAAAAAAGCTACCACCTCCCTGAGAGACGGATTACCTTCGCTGACAGGAGAACCCCTCCCATCAGCATAGGGAGCATCTACACTGAGGCGCTACAGCGGCTCAGCTGTGCCGCTGTGGGAGTTTAAGTATAGACATACCCGTATGCTACCTACTGCTTGTCTGAATAATGGTTTTGATACAACCTTACTTTTGGTAGGTCCTTCTTTAAACGCAAATAAAAGCAATGGGTTCAAAGCAAAAACCAGTTAACAGAAAATGTTTAAAATCTTAGAACAAAATTATCTCTGCATAATATCTACAGAAACTCCAGCTCTCAATTTTCAACAAGTAAATTACAAAATATTCAAATTACAGTAAAAAGGAGTACTTGTGGCACCTGAGAGACTAACCAATTTCTTTGAGCATACGCTTTCGTGAGCTACAGCTCACTTCACGAAAGCTCATGCTCAAATAAACTGGTTAGTCTCTCAGGTGCCACAAGTACTCCTTTCCTTTTTGCGAATACCGACTAACAGGGCTGCTACTCTGAAACCTGTCAAATTACAGTACGTGCACTACCACTGTGCAGAGCCATACGCAACACAGAGGATCATGTTGGTCAACTAGTTTAAGCAAAATCTAACTAATCTCAATGGAAAGTTAAACATTAAAGGTGTTACGTGGCTCAATTTTTTTAATAGTGTATTCAAATAAGAATTTCCAAACCAAGAAATAATCTAAAAGTAAAAAATAATCTATTTAAGTCTGCATACTTAAAATACCAAGAGTATTTTTATTGATCTAAAAGAACATAAACTTACAATAAAAATACCTTAAAATATACCATCAAGCTATAATGTTGCTTCTGCAATGCTATTTAAAACATTTTATGGAATTTTCTTAATAAAAATGTCTCAGAAGTGTGACTGGATAATATAAGTGATATCTTCTTTATGATTTTGTGAATAATAGTTTTTTATTATTAAGCTAAAGCAAACAATCAGAATACATATGCAATATCCAGTACACACAATATAAAGAAAGTAAATCATAACCTCTGCAAAACAAGAGATGATAAAAAGTACGAGGCCTACAAAAGTTATGGTCTACTCCATCCCTTGATGACAGACTGGGCTTCATGCCTGGTGATCAGAGGAAGCTTACCTCACTAAATTGAAATAAGGATGAAATACATAATCAAGTTTAGAGAAAAAGTTAATGAGATTAGATTAATTCTGTGGAAGCAAGCCTGCTAACAGTAAAAAGGTGATAGTTCACTAAGAGAAATAGGGTTTAGGTTTGGGTTTTTTGGGAGGGTGGATAATGGGAGATAAATTACCCAATTTTTTTTAACAATTTGTTTAATAATTCCATAGTTTTCAAAACACGACTTTCATATCAGAAGTGTTTTACACTTGCACAATGTTAATTACTTTATTATACATGGAAACCTGTAATAGGCTGATTACACAAGAAGACTGCAAACAACCACTGGTACTTTTCTGACACCAGAAAAGTACGTAAGACTGAAACATCACCAAGAGTACATAAAAAACCATCAGCATAAACATCACCAAAAATTACATAAAAAAACTAAGCAGAAAAAAACATTTTCAAAAAAGTGGTTTAGAGCAGTGCCACTGCCTTTCAGCAGCTTCAAATGGCCACGAACAATTCTGGGTTTCCGTAGCTCCACAGGCATTAATCAGGATTCACATATAATAAATAATGTACCACAAAATATACATAAAGTATGGCAATAATTCCATTAAAGGGTTATGGTGACATTAACAGACCACTCAAGCTCCACCCTTGTGGTGTCTGTCATCGCCAGAAACCTTTAATGGAATTGCAGCCATAGGCCCCAAGCCTGCAGTGAGATGATGTTGTGGACCAGGGCACCTATATGGAGACCCACTGAAGTTACTGGGATCTGTTGGACACAGATGTCCATGTTAGCAAATCCCAAGGCAGCATCAGGGCCTTACTATGTACAATTGGGAGTATATTATTTCTTATTGTACATGGAAACCTTAATAGAATTATAAAATACATGGGTGTTTACATTTTTATTTTTCTGTACTTGATATCATAAGACATCAGTAAGTACATAATAAATTATGCACTTTCTGGAATGTAAATCTTTTCAAATTCCAACTGTTAAGATGGGAAATAACCAGGGAAGGACCACAAACCATGTAGGATTGAACCAGAGAGGACGACAAAATATGCAGAAAGAGGACCCAGCATACTAACAGAGGAAGGGCAAAACACTGATCTGTTTTAAACCATGTATAATAAATAATGTATCCCAAAAGTGTATATAAGTTATGACTGTAGCTTCAAGTTGGGGTTCTAATAACATGAACAAGCCACTTAAGTTTTGTTCTCAGGGCTTATGTCACTAGAATCTCTTTATGGAATTACAGCCTTGTACAGGAGTTCGGGGGACATTATTGTTTATATTAAAGCTATCATTCCAGGCATCTACCATGGATCCAAGAACATTTGCCCCACCAATCTGGAATGAATCACCTGGAAGAAGAGTATATTAAAAGCTACAGCAAGATGTAGGTAGCAAAATTCTCAGAATTTTGGATCACCCTAGATATAAGACAGCAGTCTGAAAATGTTTTAGATCCCTTCCTTAAATGTTGAAGTATATTTGCCACAATCTGTAAATTGGAAGTTCCAGTACACTAATGGTGCATAGAATTTCCATGCTTCGTTACACTTTCCTGAGAGTAAAGCAATTAGAATAAACCTTAATCCTAGGAACAAAGTTAATTTTTTGCATTTTAAACTTTTGGGCTATTCCCTGACACTCTATATATGTAAATTGGATTGCTAAACATTGTCATTTGAGCAAAAAGAACTATTTTAAGCTATTGATTTTTTTTATTAAAACCCATAATAAACAGACCTAAAAAAAAAAATCACACTAACAAAATAAACTAAATATGAAAAGTTGCATTGAAAGGGCATGTTACATTATTCTTAACAGGACCATGTAGAAACATTCCAATGGCAGTGTTATCAAAATAAAACAAAATTACATTAAAAAGACCCCACAGCCTGGTCACACTTGGGACCTTACCTGTAACTTTGGCTGGTAGGGGTCTTTACTCTTGTACTACATGGCTCATTTACATCAGACATCATATTTGTATACCCTGAGAAATCTGACACTGAAGTCCTTATTCTATGGTCCACTTCTCCATTAGAGTTAGTGATAAAAGTCATTGGCACCCTGCTACCCAATTTAAATTGAGAACCAAACGCTTGTGCAAAGTTCTCAATCTGGTATGTTGCTCTAGGCTCTACATCCTTCTGGGGATCTATCTGGCTAGCTAACTCCTGAGGTGGAATCTGAAAGCTTGTTGAAGATTCTAAATTTTTCTGTTCCTTCTGGCTACTCAATTTCTGAGATGTAGACTGGTAGTTTGATGAAGTCTCTAAATTTTTCTGTGAATCTATCAGATCATCCAGCTCTTGAGAAGGAGTCAACTGTTGATGAGTAGCCTCCAAAGCAGATAAATAAAAACCTGGTTGAGATCCAAGCAACATCCCAAAAGGAGGCTTTGGCAATGCAGTTGGCAACACTGAGGTAACAGACTGGCTGAAGCCACACTCAAGAGGAGATGTAGTGTATATCTGTTTGTCTTGAAACAAACTGTGGTTATGGAGAGTTGAAGACAAACTAACAAACTGGAAACTGGGTCCAAAAGCAAAACCAGTGCTATTGGTCGTTCTTTCAAAAGCTTGTTGGAGGTATTTAGAGTATTCTTGCAACATGCTTGCCTTATCATTTGAAGCTGTTTGAGAGTTTGGGCTCAAATTTTCTTCTTGAACCATCTCTGAATGTTCTCCCGAGGTGTGCAAGTCTACACGTTGTTCAGTTATACTGAAAGGATCTTCCTTCTGGCCTTCTGACTTGTGAGAGTACTGGTCCAAGAGACTCTGCAAGACTTCATCAGGAATTCCAGACTTGTCATGGCAAGACTTCATTTCAGTATTTAGAGATGTTGAATCAATGAGAGATAATGGGGCTTCATTATCCATAACGCTGACACCTGCAGACTGGATGACAGACTGTTGGGAGGCCATATGTCCAACATTTATAGAAAAGGCACTGTTACTGCTGGCAGTTTGTAAATATCTTCTTTTCTTTGAAAATTGCATGGCATCATCATAATTGCTACTTATTTGACCTGGTTTTCCACCTGCATTTTGGAGAAGACCAATAGCTTCTACACCAGTATTGGTTACTATACCAAGAGAGCTACTTTGTTTCCCAGGCAATGGCTTTTGCCCAATATCTGGTAATGGTGACACAAAATTAAGGTAACTTTTGTCTGCACTTTTTCTGTTTCCTTTTTTGAAGACCAACTTTGGCACCTTTTTTTGTAATTCTTCCATGCCAGCACCAACTAAGCTACCACTGGAAGACACAACAGGAATCTCTACTGCATAATTCTGCATGGTCATATTACTTGCAACTTGTGATTCAGTTACTTTATTACTAGACTTATGTCCTTTGTTTTCAATGGATATACTTTTTGTTTTACTTTTTCTCCTTGAAGAACTTGTACTTCCCTGAGACAACACAGCCAGGCTCCCCATGTTATGATTTGATGATCCAGGGTCCATTCCAGCACCTGCTTTACCTATGGCTTCACCGCATGTTCGTCTGTGCTTCAACAGTCTATCAGTCCTTGAAAAATACTGCTGACAAGTGTCACATTTGTATGGCTTTTCTCCACTATGTGTTCTCTTGTGTCTCTCCATATGGTACTTCTGGATGAATTTCATGCTGCACTGGTCACATCCAAATGGCTTCTCCCTACTGTGGATCTTCTCGTGTCTCTGGAGCAAGTACTTCTGGATGAAACCCATGCTGCACTGGCTGCACTGGAAAGGCCTTTCCCCAGTGTGAATGAGCACATGTCTGCGCAAGTGATAGGAGCTCCTGAAGGCAGCGCTGCAGTGTTCACAGACATGAGGTTTCTGACTTGAGGACAAGATGGCAGCTTCTGTGTCTCCCACCAGTGGGGGTTTGGATGAGGCGCTCTGCTTGCGCTTGGCTTTGATTCCCTGAGATTCTGGCTTTGGCCTCTTTGCCTTCTTGCCATGGGTGTCGTGCTTTGGCTCATCGGAGCCCCCAGGGGTGCTCTCGCTCCTGCCGCTCAGTAACAGGTCCCGGTGGGGATGGTGGTGCAGGTGGTGGAGGAGGCTTAGGTCCTGAATCACACTCTGGCTGGCTCCTTCCCCACTGCCACTGCCCAGGGCTGGGTGCCTCTCCTCCCCAGCCCCTCCAAATAGCCCCCCATAGTGCTGCTGCTGTTCCTCTTCACTGGGTTTCTCCTGCTTGATGCTCACCAGCGACTGGAGGAAGCCCCAGGGGCTCCTCTGCGAGGAAGAGGAAGGGAAAGCCCCAGCCGGCTCCTTCTTGAAAGTCACGTCCTGAGGCGGGGGCGGCGCGGGAGGCTCGGCCGCCGCAGAGGAGGAGGCGGAGGCGCCGGCGGCGGAGGGGGGCGGCGGCAAGACGCACTGCGAGGGGTGCTGGGCCGCCGGCGGGGGCGCGGCCGCCCGAGTGAAGCTGGTGACCGGCGGGAGCCGGTGGTTGAACATGACCATGCTGGGGGGGAAGGTGGGCTCCATGGCCGCCGCCCTCTTGCTGCCGCCACCGAGGAAGCCGCTGCCGAGTTTCATCCCCCAGGAAGCCGGGCCGGGGAGGAGGCGCGGCCCAGAGGGGCTGCGGGACCCGCCGCAGCCGGACGCCGCTCGCTCAGGGTGCTGCTCAGCGCCGGTTCACCGAGCCGGCCCCGCCCGGGCGCATCGTCACCGCCCCACCCGCGCCGACGGGCAGCACCCGGCCCTGGCTGCACTTACGGCTCCCGCCGCCGCCTCCAGTCAAAAATAACGCCGCGTCCGCTCCACAATGGAATTAGCAGCCCCCGAGCGCGACACTGCGCATGTGCGGCGCGCGGCATGCTGGGAACGACCCAGTCAGGAGGGCCGCGCTGGGCGGGCAGCGCTCGGCAGCCAGTGCGCAGGCGTAACAGAACCCCACCACCCTGCCCCCCTTCGCACCCATCAGCCATCTCTGCCCTACAGACCCTCAGGCCGCCTGGGCTGCGCCCGGGGGCAGAGGCCGAGGGGGAGGGGATTGCACCTCGTTGCTGGGGGAGGCCCGGGTGCAGCTGCCCTCCCTGGGCTCACGGAGTGACACAGAGCGGGGCAGGGGTTGCCGTTGCCGTTGCCCCAGCCCTGCTCTGCACCCAGTACGGGTAACGGACTGTGCGCTCACCGTGGCCACACGCAGCCGGGGGCCACCCTCCGGAGCACGTTGTCCTGCACCTGTGCCTCGCCGCCGGCGCTGGTGCCAGCGCGAGCCCGCAGGCTGCGTTTCGCAGTGCAGGGAGCCGAGCCCGATGGAGAAGCCCCGTGAAGACACAAGCGAGCATGTGTGACGTTACCTCAGGGTGTTGTGGCCTAAGTGCCCTATTACGTAGCCCAGGGTAGAACACAGGCAGCTAACGGTGTTTCAGACCTGTCCGTGTAACCCACGTGTGGCGGGGTGTGACAGGTCTCCCTCGTGAGCCTGCATCGTAACCGGGCTTCTCAGGCATGTTCAGCCAACTCAGCCGAACTGATACGAGGCGGCGGGGGACGACGACACACACCGTTTTTCTCCCACCAACAAACACTAGGCCTAATGCAAGTAAAACCACGTGTGCATCTTCACTCCTGCAACGTATCTGTAGGATTGGGATAGAGATATAAATGCGTATTGTTTGTGTCGTCAGACTCAAAAATAATTACTTTGACATGCATGCATTTATTAATCCCCTTCTACACACGAAGAAATTAATAGTTTATGTATTTATAAGAAACCAGATTCCGCTATCCTTAGTGAGTCAGCATCATATTGCACTGACTTCATTGACATTAATAGAACCACTCCTGAAATATTACTTAAGAGTAAGGATATCCAAATTTGGCGCATTGATTGTATATGTGTATACATTCATAACATGCATACTTGCTTGTGGGCATTTCATCTGAAATCTGAAAAGTGCAAATTGGAAAGCACAGCCAGATAGTTCACCCTTTCTTTCGAAAAAAAATAGCACAGAGTAAGAGAGCGCAGTTAAAGAAAACTGTGCAAGCAAATTAATTGTACATTTAGAGAAGACCACTACATAATTCCTCTCAGATCAGTACAGCCCAATTGCAACACACTTTAAGCACACAGTTGTAACAGATATGCACATGCCTGATTAATGGTGCTGCTTGCCATTTTAGTTGCATAGATGAAAATCCCTTCACTATTACTAGGTTTGGCAGAATTTGATTTTGATTTTTTTTGTAATTTTGACATATATAAATGTATATTTCAAGCATTTTTTTCAACTTTTATCTATTTAAATTTTCACAGTTGCAGAAAATTACCATTAATGACAGTACACACAGGTATAAAAAGTTAAAGCCTTATAACTATTAAAACACAAATTGTCAACATCACATCAGCATCTACAAAGTAAATATCATTAAACTAAACTAAGAAGTTCTCAAGCAGCATTTCTCTTTGCCTATCTGTACATTTCTATTATTATTGATGGAGATTTTTTGTCAGTGTGTGTGTATTCGGTGAAATCAACGTTAACTGACATTTACTAGTAAAAATCTAATCCTTCCAAATGTAATTATAATGGACTGATGCAACTCCAGAAACACATTCACAATCACACCACTTTAATTTTTTAAAAAAAACCTCTCCATGAAAGATTACAGCTGACATTTTTCTTCATTTTCACTAGTGTTAAACTAGAGATGCAGCCTTGACTACTACTAACTTTTGAATAAAATTATGTTTAATTTCCAACCATTGATTCCCAAAGCTTATTTATTTATTTATTTCGATGGGTTTTTAATATGGCATCCCAAATATAATATGCACCCAGGTGTATTAGTAACTTCCTACTGAACTGATTAAAACTTTTTTTTCCCATAAATGGAACTGTAAGGGCACAAACTATAACAACAACATTTGGATTTTTTTACATTCCATTTGCTATATATATATTTTATCCCCTTTAAAGATCATGAAGTAATTTCCAGAGGCCTATTTGCAGCTATTAGAAAGTCTTGCAGTAGATTTTAAAAGTCTTCCAAAATATATAAAAGATGTAAATATTAAACCTGGGATATAAGACGTTTCTATATCCTACAGAACTTTGAAGTCAGTTATTAAGACAGACTAGTTCTTGCTACATTTCATGTAACTCTAAATGCAATTCCATTTAAACGGCATGCAAACTAAAACTTAGTTATATATAAAAACCAACTTGAATTGTGAAAGTTTAAGACTGTCAAGTGTAACTAAGTGTTAAAAAAAAGACTAGGAATTCAAAAACTTAAAAGCAGCAGTAAAATATTAGTCAATGCCTATGAGAAATGAGTCTGTCCCTTTATTCAGGGTGTCTATGTTTAATGGTAAGATGGGATGCATATAAGCTAGTCCAAGCATGAAGGGCAGTAGGACACTCATATGGAAAGCCAACTTTGTCCCTCAGTTATCAAGATAAGAAACCTGTCATTTCTCTCATTCACTCTGTCAGCCTTGAGATACTCTAAGCAGACTTACCTCTGTGTTGTACACCCCATATATCAGGAAGATGAAGAGACCCTGTAAAATAAAATGGAGGGAAAAAGCTGTTAACTCTAATCATTTCAGCAGTAGAAATACCTGAAATAAACTTTCCTGGGAACAGACAAAAGAAGACACACTTCATCAAGGTCAATTTATTTTTCTATTTTTCAACATTATAAGCTGTACCTTGAGCATTTATTTGATAATGTGGGAGTACATTGCCTACAATATTTGTGCTATTCAACTGTTTGGCAATAAAATATTCAGGACTAAAGAATCTAAAATGTTAATTAGAAAAATTTATGTCACACCTGAATGGTCTTTTGAACATGAAATAAAAAAACATCAAAAATGCTATTAAAACAAACTAAGAAAAGAGCAAATATTTATATTTCTAAATATCTTTTAAAATGCAATCAGTAAAAAGTTTATCGTTTATTACCATGTTCTATAATAAAAATATATGTATGCATGCATACATATGTTTGTGTTTGATATATAGATACATAACACACCTAAAATCACAAATATTCAACTTTTGAAATGAAACTAAAATAGCAATAAAGTGCGAGATGTAGGATTATAAGGAAAAGTATAGAGAAAAGTAACAACAATTAAATGAAATAGCTAAATTGTTCAATATTTCATTAATCAGAGATCTCTGTCTTGACAGTAGGGAGTATGAACTCTCAAGGCAGACTTAGACAATACAAAATATTACAGAACAGTAGATTCTAACCATGATTTATCAAAGCCAATATATTTATAAGCTTCTTCAAATCTGACTAGCATCAGACAATAAACAAGCAAAAAGACATTCTGGACTTCTGTGGGGGCTCTGTGCAGTCTTTTCACAGGGATCTATTTGCAATATCAAGGGCTGAGTTAATATACTGTTAATTCTTCCAAAGACCAATTACAGGCAAGATCCTTCAAAATATGAGCAAAATACATCAATTAGGAACAAAGCAAATCAGAAAAATGTTATAAAGTTGTAGAAGTACTTTCTTAGGGAAACTTTTCAGTAACTTGAGTTCAACACCTCTGGTATAATTACCCTGAAGAAATAAAAAAAGGAGTCTCATATTTGCACCCAGAATTTTGAATTCATATGTGGGCCTACCCTACGTTGTAAGAACTTTGTTTTGTTTTTTCCATTGGCATATACAAGCTGCCTGTAACACTATGACACCTGGGGTTTTCTGAAGTTACAGATTTTAAGTTCTATATAAAAATTATTTAAACACAGCTAGGGTATTCTTGCAGTTGTTACATCATCAGAATTACTGTATCAAGAAATATTGAACTATAAGGGAGATTATGCACATTTAGTATTTCCCCAGGTTACACAGCATGGAAGTTAAACTCTTGAGGGGGAGAATAAGATTAATTAATTTATAATAAAATAATTAAGAAATATTAAACTCCAGTTCACCTTTCTGGGGTGTTTTTTTCATAATGAAAGCAGTTTATTTAATGATACATAGACTGATACAAAGGACAGACATCTGGTTCGGGCTATATTGTACACTTAATATTGAACATTCTGCACTTTTATATTGTGCTTCTTGTTTGCAAAATAATAAAATTCTGCAAACATGGCAATTCATGTAAGTGAAGTTACTTACGTGCATAAGTGTTTGCAAAATTGGGTCCTAATTTTGCTTTCAAATAAGGGGGAGCATAAAATTTCTTATGGGGAACATATAGTGTAAAACACAAGGATTAATTAATTTTAGTATATCATTGGCTTCTCTCAGAGAAGAATTTGAAATCCATGTTGCTTAGACTACAGGAGTAGATTAGCCTAAATTTACATATTTCAGTAACTGAAATAAAATTCAGAGATGCATGAAATATAGTTACAGAAAGTAAAATAATTATGGTTATATGATAGGTAGTAACAAGAAATAAATAATAATGTATGAAATTTAAATTGAATGTTCAAACTTTACTAACCAATAATCAAATGAAGTTAGTATGATACACACTAATCCAAGCAGTAGCACAATTGTTATTACAAAGCTGAAATACTATGTGACTTTTTTCTAATATTCTGTACAGAGAATTATTGTATAAACATGGATCCTTTATACAGACCTGAAGGTCAATCAAGCTTATGCCAATTAGTATTGAAGACTGTCATTGACAATTAACATTAAGATAAAAGTTATAAATTTAAATAAATTTGAACATTATTATTTATGGCCACATATGGACTGAACATATGCAACTGCACAGGACTAAGAGGAGGAGTAAGATACACACCTGTATGGCCTCCTCACATCTCTGTTGCAGGTGTAA